TCCCAAAGTTGATGCCCATCAGCTCTGGCTGCTCAGGAGAGGGTCACATGTCTATCTCTGAACCAATCACTGCAATCAGGGGATAGAGTACACTGATTAATCTCCTAAGTATGGAATTGCATTCATTTCACCCAAACTGCATGGACTGAGGCAGTGGGGCAGGGGTGATTCCATAGAGGGAAACCAGGATGCTCTTACCAGAGGAAAAATGTATGTTGGGCAGGTGGAAGCAGCAAACATCCACTAGAGGCACTCTGCCTCATTACCAAGGAAGGGGCGGGGGGGCGGGGGAGGTTGACAGCATGCTGCTTGGTATGTAGGTGATAGTGTTTATTCATTTACTTCTTGCAAGAGGATTGGGAGAATAACCACTCAGCGGGGAGGGCGGAGCCACAGTGGCAGTCACCAGCCCACATGCCCCTAAACTTCCACCCATGTGTCATCTTGGATGCATGTGCCAGGGAGCATTTCCCTGGGAACATGAACCCCAGATACTGGTTGGTGTCTCAGGACAATCCAGACAACGTACCCCCTGTCATGAAATCTGCTGCTTGTCAGGGCTTTAACTCGCCCAGCTCAGCCCATCAGTGGTAGGCATCTGTGAGTTTGAGACAGAGCACTTTCTTACGCAGGTAAATACCCAGAACAAAGACATCATTAGGAGCCATTATAGAATAGCGCTTTGCACTAACTGCTGCATATAATGTTCGCTGCCTCTTTGCTGATATTACCAAATGAGGGTTGTTTCTTAATGATTCATTTTTATTATCATTATCGTTGTCACAAGGATCATCTAGTTCATTTATGCTGCACTTGTTGCTGTAGAATCTAGATGGTGGTCCTCGGGGCTGGTTCTGCCTACCCGACTGCTCGTGTGACCCAGGCTGGAGGGGTGCAGCCATTCTGCAGTGCTTCCTCAGAGCCCCCAGAGCTCACATCACACCTTAATGCCCTGCTCTGTTCCCTGTCTGTGCCCCCTACTAACCATGAGGCGCTTGAACAACAGGGATTATCTCTTTGATCCCCAATGTCCTCTGTACCCAAAACATTATAACCGCTCACTAAGTGCTTGGAGAATAAATGCTACGCATAGTGGTTGCAAAACAAAGGGGAATAAGGCATAGTCCCTAACCTTGAGGAACTTCAAGTCTATTCATTACAAAAGTAACAACACTAAGGATGGCACCAGCTAATGTTAACCCAGTGTTACGTGTGAGATACTGAGCTAAGTGCTTTGCATGCATTATCTCATTTAATGATCTTGACAATCTCCCCCCTCGTTCCATATTATTACTACCCCCATTTTACAGATAAGAAAGCTGAAGTTCGTGGAGTAGGCTAATATCATATCATTGGAAAATGGTGGACTCAGGGTTTTAACCCAGGTCTGCCTGATTATAATGCATATTTCTAGCCACTAAAGTAATACACCTCTATAAAGGCAGGATGAATAAAATGTATGGGAGAAGCTGAAATAAATTAATTCCCAAAGTATTGGCAGGGAGTTTCTTCATCAAAGCAAATCTTGTGTAAAGGTATTAGGCTGGTCCAGTTTTTATAGGGAGCCTTTGAGGAATCTCCAAGCAGAGATCTAGAGATATGTCAGTGACCCTGTGAAGGAAGTATCTGCACACTTCTCTAAACATGGGGTCAAAAGAGCAAGATGGCTGTGCTCTGCCCCTCCCAAGTTTAAGTTCTCACAGAACGTAAAGAGAAATCTCAGAATGTCATTGAGAAATGGAGACTGGGGACCACATCTGTTAAACTGTGCACTTTGTAACTTACCCCAAGCAGCTCTTTCTGCTGCTCTATATCATTTCCCCACAGAGACCTGAGCAGGAGCCAGAGAAAAGGGCAGCACAGGAGGGAGCCCCTCGGGAGGTCAGCTGGGAGGAGGGGGTGGGTGAGTGGGGCAAGGGACCCTGAGGAGAGAAAAGCAAAGCAAGTGATTGGCCTGTGGCCAAGTGGGTAACAGAGACCCTGCAGACGGGTTGAGCGTGAGACGCCTTCTTCCCAAGCCGAGGGAGCCAATAACCGCTCAGAGCTGGGTCCGTCCGTCATGAGCAGGCATGTGGAGCTGTGGGAAATGTCTGTCATTGTCAGTAATCTCCTCTTGTCATTCAACAAACAGTGATCATGTGTGGATAACGTGTGGATGTCCTGTGTGTGTGCACTGAGCAGGTAATGGGCAACCATGAAGAGCGATTTTCCCACTGGGGATCTCGTGTGAGACACGGATGAGTAAGTGACATGGTGGGGTAAGCAGAGTGTCCCTGGGATTATAAGGAAGATGGAATTACTAAACAAAGATTATGTGTTAAAGAAAAAAGTAATTGTGACACTTGTTAGAGATGGTAAGGAAGACTTTATTCAGGAGGGTGGGACCACTGCCATGGCGCTTTGTAATAGGGGAGAGAGATGGGACTCAACTCTGAACACAGCAAGGAAAACTGGGCATTCATAGCAGGAGCACGGTGGAGGTCAGTGGATGGAAAATTCCTAAGATGAAACATCAGGGAAAAGGAGGATGCTGGCGAACCTGACCTAACAGGATTCTTGCTGATGGTAGGCCAGGGTGATCAGACATATCTGAGGGATGGTGGAGAAGAGAAACCTGATTAGATATCAACTGTGATCAGATATTGCGGATTCAAGCTAAACAGACTTAGCAGGATTTTTGCTAAAATTGAACAATGCAGAGACAAACACAAAAGTCCAAAAGGCCTACTTGGAAAAGAGCTCAGGAGAGCCTGAGTAGAGCAGGGTCAAGCAGAAAATCATTGTCAATACCTATCCCAAGCCCAGGGGCAGAAAGTGAGCTAGAGTGGGCTTTAGAGAGCTAAGTGAGCACTGGAAATTGAATAGCATTTACCCAAGCGAAGACTGGAGTGGGAGCAAGGTGCCAGAGGGGCCTTTTAGAAGCAAAAGAAGCAAAGCTCAGCCTAGCTGCTGTGGCTCAGTGGTTGAGCATTGACCTATGAACCAGAAGGTCATGGTTCGATTCCCAGTCAGGGTACATGCCCGGGTTGTAGGCTCGATCCCCAGTGTGGGGCGAGCAGGAGGCAGCCGATTGATGATTCTCTCTCATCATTGATGTTTCTATCTCTCCCTTTCTCTCCAAAATCAATAAAAATATTTTTTAAAAAAAAGAAGAAGAAGCAAATCAGGCCATAAAAGACAGCATGACATTTCTAGGAACTACCAGGAACTTGATCCAATTTGGGCTTAGAAGGAGGAGTGGGAAGTGGCCAGAGATGGCACTGGGCCGGCCACCCTCAGAGTCTGGCCTTCATCCTGGAGCCAGTGGGGGCCTCCATCACCAGGTTTTCCTTCCAAGGGACAGCTGTCTTGGGTGGTTAATGCCACCACTACCAATGATAAAAAAAGATGCTGGCTCTTTGAAAACATCCGATTTTAAGACCCAATCATCTTGCGGGCAGATCCAAAGGAAGCACTTGGGCCATCTTTCTATGGTTATAAACTCAGGGTCTTGGTGTCCTGATATTATGGGAACCCTCATAGCCGGAGAAGATGCATTTTGGCCTGGAGGGCATGTCAGAAATCACATAACTTTTCTAGCGTCATTTTAGCTCAGTGAATTTACCTTAGCGGCACCTGAGAATTACCTGGAACGTTTTTAAAGAAATACGGATACCCGGGCCACCCTCAGAGAAGCACTGGCATTTTTTTTGAAGCTCCCCTGTGATCCCTGTGCAGCCAGTATAGGAGACTACAGAAAAGTGCGCAGCTTAGAAACAGTCATTCTTGATAAGAGATCGGACTCCCCTTGCCAGGTACTCTTGTTACGAAGATTCTGGGTCAACTTTGCTAACCTTCTTGGCAGATCTTCAAAAGCTGCCTGTGGCACCTGCTGAGACCTCTTCATTGTCCCACCACCTTTTTACAGATAGCTGCAAAAGGACCCTGTTCTAAAGCCAAATTTGGGAGAGGGACAGCTGGAGCGGGAGGCTGACTCACCCATCTCTGGTCACCTGAGGCCATCATCTCACTCCCTGAACCCTGCTGTCTGGGCGGCACTAAGGAGTTCTGTCAAGGATTCCTTTTCCCCTGAAGTTACCCGGAAACTCTAAGCAGGCCTCATTAGCACATTACTCACGCTCCCCCAGTCCCACACATCACCCTCCTCCTCACCCCCACCTCCAGATCTATTTTTTTTCCTATTTGCCCTTTTTTTTTTTTCAGTGCAGTTGGGTTTTGTTCCCTGTGCCCTGAAAAGCACGTTTTTGGAATGGAAATGTTACTGGAAGAAAGCGGGGGGCTCAGGGCTCAGGGCTCTGGGGTCCTGGCCCATCACCGCTCACGCCCTCGCCATGAAATGCCATTTGTCAGGACCAGCTAGAGACAAGCCCTCTAAATACTTCCCCAGACACTGCTCGGTTTGGTTCCTTCCTCATTGAGACAGCAAATCATTAACTCAGAGCCCCCGGTTGTTTCTTGCAGCAATTAACAGCTGCCCTGGTGTTAATTCCCAATCAATAGCCCCTCCATGCTGCTCCTACAGCTGTCGGCTTCTGGCCTCCACAGCAACTCAGAAAGTAACTTGTTGGGGTCCTGAAATTGCTCCTCCCACTGCTCCCCAGGAAAGCCCTCACCGGGCTTCCTAAGGACAGCAAGGCCCCTCCGTGAAAGTCAGGGGTCAAGGGACAACATGAGCAAACTGGGGCTCCACCCATCTCTTTCAAGGTGAATGACAACTTGGGAGACAGGAGGAACCAGGTCCCCCCTGGAGTAGCAGCAGCCCCTTGGGGTAGTCATGAAGCTTTCATTTTTCCATGTTGGCTTTTTTTTTATTCTTTTTTTTTTTTCCGTTTGTCTTGAGATGGCTGTATTTTTCCTCCATCTACCAAAAAAAAAACAAAAAACAAAAAAACCCACCAAAACCAAAAAAAAAAAAACCCTCTCATACAATCAGTCTTATTTTTTTTTTTTAATTCAAATAGCCATCATTTCTCATTTTTTGCCTGTGTTGCTTCCTGCAGCTCCCTGTGGACAGAATGAGACCCGAGAGGACGGCAAAATAATTCAGCTGCCTCCCTGCAAGACTGGAGCCTGGATCGTGCCAGCCATTATGGCCTGCTACCTTTTAGTGGCGAACATCCTGCTGGTCAACCTCCTCATCGCTGTCTTTAAGTACGTGGGCCCTTCATCAGAGCCCTTGGGAGAAAGTGGGGGCACTAGAAGGGTGTGATGCTTCAGAAAGCAGTGGAGTTTCTCACCTCATTCTCTCTGGTCTCTATTTCAGCAATACGTTTTTTGAGGTAAAATCAATATCCAACCAAGTGTGGAAGTTTCAGAGGTATCAGCTCATCATGACTTTCCACGAAAGGCCAGTTCTGCCCCCACCTCTGATCATCTTCAGCCACATGACCATGATATTCCAGCACCTGTGCTGCCGATGGAGGAAGCATGAGGGTGACCCAGATGAAAGGGACTACGGCCTGAGTAAGCTTTGAGTGACAGCCCCCAGCAGCCACCCATTCCATAGCCCTACTGCTTCCCATTGGCAGTCCTGCAGGACTGTGGTCTCTGACAGCTTGGAAGGGAACAGAGGGGCAGGCTTGCCAGAGAAACAGTGCCAGGAAGAAGACAGTAGAGGCTGAAATCAAGCATTCTTAGCCTCACATCTTTCTTTCTTTCTTTTTTTTTAATCCTCACCTGAGAACATGCTCATTGATTTTATAGAGAGGGGCAGGGGGAGAGAGAGAGAGAGAGAATGGGAAACATTGATCGTTTGACTCCCGTACATGCTTTGACTGGGGGGTCAAACCCGAAACCTAGGTATGTACCCTGACTGGGAATCGAACCCATGACCTTTCAGTGCATGGGATGATGCTCCAACCAACTGAGCCACACTGGCCAGGCAGCCTCACATCTTTCTTAGTGAGATAAAACCAGCCTCCAGCAGGGCTGTTTCAGTGCCTTCCTAGGTTCTAAGATTCTTACTTTCCAGAGGTCCCACCACGAAATATATCAGCCATATTTATAGGCTCCCAAGGCTGCATTATATGTCATCTGAGCCTCTTACATGAGTTGAGTTGCAGGTGACTCCGCTTGATTTTCCATTATCGTTTCTGCACCTACCGTTTTGTAGGCCTTGAACATTTTCCAAGCCTTAGAGACTGTGCTAATGTGACTTCATGAGGACACCAGCCCTGCTTTCCAGTATTCAAAGGGCAAAACAGAAGCCCCTCCACCAACCACCTTCTAGTCCAGTGTTTCTAAAAGGAGGTTCTATTAGCACTGAGGCAGAACAATACTTCAGTGATAGGATTGTCCCACGCATTGTAGGGGATTTTGCACATCCCGGTTCCACACATTAAAAAGCAATAGCTCCTGCAGAATGCTAAGTGTCCCTTGGGTACCACCCACAGTTAAGAACCATTGGGCATCCAGCCCCATCCAAGCAAGCTACAATGGTTTCTCAAGTACACCACCTCCACCAAACCTACTGAACGAGCCTCTAGAATGAAGGCCCAGAAATTCCCTCCAGGTGATCACTGGTGGGTCTAAAGTTTGAAACCAAAACCATTTAACCACCTGCTTCTCTAAGACTAAAACTTTTAACAACTTCCCTGACACAACAATGCTGACTTCTTTCTAGACATTAAAATTGGAGAGTTGGAAGGGACTACGAATTCCAAAGTTCACTATTTCCATATAAAATATAAATTTAGACAAATAGAAAGCTGGTGAGGGGGTGAGGATTCAGATTCACAGTGGATCACTTTCTATGCCTGTATCAGTTATGAATTAGTTTCCCTGTTATTAACAGAAAACCAGGCTAACAATAGCACAAATAAATAAGGTTTTTCCCTAGCTGGTTTGACTCAGTGGATAGAGCATCGGTCTGTGGACTGAAGGGTCCCAAGTTTAATTCAGGTCATTAACCTCCGTTATAGGCTCCAGGGCTGTGTGTGGGAGGCAACCAATCAATGTATCTCTCTCACATCGATGTTTCTCTCTCTATCTATCTATCTAACTATCTATCTCTGTCTCTCCCTCTTCCTACCACTTTCTCTTAAAAAAAAAAAAAAGAGGAAAAATAATCCTTGGGTGAGGTTTAAAAATCTTATTTTAAAATAATAAAATAAAGCCCTAGCCAGTTTTGCTCAGTGGGTAGAGCGCCGGCCTGTGGACCAAAAGGCCCCGGATTCGATTCCGGTCAAGGGCACATACCTGTGTTGCCGGCTCAATCCCCAGTGGGGGCATGCAGGAGGCAGCCAATCGATGATTCTCTCTCATCATTGATGTTTCTATCTCTCTCTCCCTCTCCCTTCCTCTCTGAACTCAATAAATATATACATTTTTTTTAAAAAAAAGAAGGTTGAGTAAGAATAATTAATGATAATAATAAATAAGGCTTCATTTTGCTCACAAAGCAACTAGGTGGATAACCCCGAGCACAACAGTGGCTCACTGAAGTCACAGACCCAGAGTCCTATTTTTAGGCTCAGCTATTCGTGAATGCACTGTCTTGTCTCGAGGTAGCAAAATAGCTGCTGCACTTTCCGTCATCATTTATGTTCAAGGCAAAAAGAAAAGGAGAAAGTAAAAAAATGTAGAAAGACGCAGCCACATCACTACAGTTTATCAAGAAAGCAAATCTCTTCCCCTCCCTGCAGTTTCTTGGGCTAAACTGGGTCTCACCATAGCTGCTACCTTCAAGGGAGGCTGGAAATGTGTGTATTTGGCTTTCCAGCCTCAGTAGTAGGAAGTGGGAAAGGGGAAATGAGGTTGCAAAGGGGCTTTTAGTAAGGCCAGTGAACAGTGTCTGTCTGCCACATTCCTCAGCCCAGAAATTGAGCTTCTTTCTTTCTTTCTTTCTTTCTTTCTTTCTTTCTTTCTTTCTTTCTTTCTTTCTTTCTTTCTTTCTTTCTTTCTTTCTTTCTTTCTTTCTTTCTTTCTTTCTTTCTTATTGATTTTAGAAAGGAAGGGAGGAGAATATAGAAACATCAATGATGAGAATCATTGATCGGCAGCCTCCTGCATGCCCCATCCTGAGGATCGAGCAACCTGGGCATGTGCCCTGACCAGGAATTGAACTGTGACCTCCTGGTTCATAGGTCAATGCTCAACCACTGAGAAACACCAGCCAGGCTGGAAATGGAACTTTTGAGAAACCTCCATTCATTGTGTACCTTCCCTTTCCTTGATTTAGCTACATGTTTGGCCTTACAACTTGAATGATTGTAACCAGTCCCTGCAGTAAATCAGCTACGTTCAGATGGACTTCAAAGAACAACGGTGACTCTAATGCACAGGAAGGGGACAGTGACACACTTTGCCTGATGGGGTTTGGATTTAGTCTGAGATTTAGCAGAGAATCTAGGCCCGTTCCCCTAACCTTGGTTCACATTTGGAATGTCATTAGGCCCACAGATCAGGCACCATCGCTTTTACTTCTCTGCCTCACATCTCATTTCTCTTCCACAGAACTGTTCATAACTGATGATGAGCTCAAGAAAGTGCATGATTTTGAAGAGCAGTGCATAGAGGAATATTTCAGAGAAAAGGACGATCACTTCAACTCGTCCAATGATGAGAGGATACGGGTGACTTCGGAAAGGTGTGTCCCCTGGTCACATGTCTCCTGGGAGGTTTTATGCCATGGCATGCTTTATCCATTGCTTTTGTTTGTGCAGCCGCACACAAAAAATATCAGAGACCCCTGTGTTTATTTTTATTGTCCAAGAAATTGTGAAGCTTAGGAGAGCACGGAATGTTATCTGAAAGGTTCACAGATCAAAATCCCAGATATACAGATCCTAGATTCTCCAGCAGGCAGTGGCGCCACCTTCCTGGACACTAGACATGGCTATGTTCAGAACAGGGCAGGAGTTACTTGCTCAGCGAGAAATTGGAGAGTTCTGACCCAGACACAAACCAGGAGAAACCCAGCCCAACCCAAGGCTCTCCAGCAGGTCTGTGTATGATGTACACCCTGAGCATCTTCTCCAAAGTATAGACAGTCCTAGTGCCTGGCTTACATGCGTGCTGAGTACCTTCTGAATAAACAACAGCACGAGACTTGTGAATTACATAGAATCATGGTTGAGGTTTTTAGGTTTTTTCAGGAATTATTTTAGTTTTTCTTCTTATATAACAAGACAAAAGCAAAGGAATAAAAGCAGTTTTTTTCTACCCAGTGGTCATATATTTTTAGATCTCATTGACAAAATGGTTTTGTGGACTAGCAGGGCTCTAAGAAAAATCTCAAAATAAACAGGAAAGAATCATTTTCATTTAATAAGTCTAGCTTTATGCAAAGGAACTCACATTGTCTTACTTTCCTCATTTTGCTGCAGACTAATAAAAACATCATTCTGGGCTGGCACAGTCATAACCTGGAATTTGGGAACCAGTTCTAAAGAACACCCAGAGTGGTACAGAGCACTTGGTGTAACTTCACATTTTAAACATTTATATTTTAAATATAAAGAGATCAGAAGCAAATTATAAATAGTGGGAAAAGGGATATAGAATATATTGATGATTTTAATCAATGTAATTCACACTTCCCAAGATTTGAGTCCGTCACCTCTAGTTTTCACCAAATGACATTTTGTCTGCTTACCCACTTTATACATTTTCTAGTGGTTCTGCAGAAATTATACAAATGGCATTTTTTCTGTCCCTGGCCCTTTATTTCTTCAAAGAATGCAGCCTACACAGGTAGGTGTATAATGCATATGCCATTGTATCCAGAGGTACTCAACCAACATTAATAAAGTGTAAAGCATGAATAGATCTTATACACATCTGTCATTGCAAAATAGAACATTCCATGATGATATGATGTGAAGCAATTTTCTGGCACACTCAGAAAGGAGCTGCAAATCCAAAGATCTTCCTCATTCTGAGGCCTTGAAAAAGCTATTTATTAATGGGCACATAACCATATGGTTCCCAGAAAATTGTGCCATGTAGACACACTGCCCATTGCTCAGACTTATTTCCAAAGCCTATGTCCAGGGGCCTTTGAAATGCTTTTTGAATTCAGGAAGCCATAGACTGGGAAGAAAGAAAGGCAGGGGAGGAAGTGTTGAGACACAAAGAAGCCTTTGCCTCTCTGGGGAACTAGCCTGAGAGGTGCAGGCAGCAGGGCATGTGACTCATTGGGACTAAATCACCAATTCCTTTTGGAAAGGAACTAGCACCTCTCTACTTGATCCTCTCACCCCACGCCTGCAAACACTTCAGGAGACTCCTCCCCCAAGACCCTGTTCCTCTCTGGGCGGAAAAGGAGTCCCACCCTCCAGGAGGGTGACTAGGGTGAGCAATTCCCAGAAATCCAGGGCGGAGTGCAGGCTTATTTTTGTGTGTGTGCCCTAGCATTAGCTGACCTTCTGGAGTAATGGGGGCCAGAAAGACCCGGATGACCTCACAACCAAGCCCAGGTGCCAGAGAAGTGAACCCAAACCAAGGCCTTCTTTTGCTCCTGATGCCACTGTCTGTGTTTAGGGTTTTGTTTTTGATGGTGGTGGCAGTGGTATTGGTGTGTTTTACGTTTGTAAATGTGCCAAAAATAGCATCTTTAAACACTAGAATTGCACTGGACACATCAGAACTACCATGAGGTGCACAAGGGAACAGAGATAACTAAGGGAAGAGTGGCTCCATTTACCCCTCTCAAGCATCTTCTAGGACATGGTAACTTTTCTTCTTGGCAATAACAATGAAAGCAAACTGGGACATACATTACTCCTAGTGTCATCTTTTCATCTAAAAGTATCTTTCCTGAGCCAATAGGCTTTGTATCCTTTTTTCACTTCACCTAGATCCAAAAAAGTGATAGACACATAACTATTCATAGTACAGTCAAGTTATAACTTTTCAAGACAAAGAGAGGCAGGAATAACTTAGGATGTATGGAATTCATTTAAAAAAATAGTATAAGCCAAAAAAAGATGAGCTTCTGCCTTCTTTGGGTCATGATTGTTAGTGATTAGGAGCTGACTCTGGTCAAACCACAGATAGGTTTAAGGCAGGAGTTATATGTTATCCATAGTCTTTCGTTCTTTTGTTACTTAGTCACTTCTATTATCTGTCCCCTGTGGCTTCCCATCTTATCTTATAAAAGAAAAACATGCAAATTGACTGTACCTCCGCTATACTCACAAGCCTCGCCCACAAGCCACGCCCACAAGCCAATCAGAGTGACTATATGCAAATTAACCCAACAAAGATGGCGGCCGGCAGCCACAGAGCTGGACCAAGCAGGAGGCTTGGTTTCCCCAGTGATGGAGGAAGCCAAGCTTCCTGCCTGCCCTGGCCGGCAGCCTCCACTCAAGGCAACAAAGTTACAATTATAGAAGATAAATAAATCCCAGATACCTGCTTCCAGTCAGCCTCCACTGGGAGCTTGGGTGGCAGGGGGCCGTGGCCAGCCTGCAAACAGCCATCAGCCCCTCACCCAGGATGCCCAGGCAAACCAGCGGTGACCCCCACCCTGAAGGGGCTGTGCCAGCCTGCAAACAGCCATCAGCCCCTCACCCAGGCTGGCCACAGCCTCATGGGGTGATGGGTCCCTGCTGGGGGGCTTGGCCAGCCTGCAAACAGCCATTAGCCACTCACCCATGCTGGCCAGGCACCCCAGCAGGACCCCTCTCCCTGAAGGGGATGTGGCCAGCCTGAAAATGGCCCTCAGCCCCTCACCTAGGCTGGCCAGGCACTCTAGCGGGACCCCCACCCTGATCCGGGACACCCTTCAGGGCAAACCAGCCGGCCCCACCCATGCACCAGGCCTCTATCCTATATAATAAAAGGGTAATATGCAAATTGATCCTAACAGCAGAACGACTGGGAATGACTGGTCACTATGACACACACTGACCACCAGAGGGCAGACGCTCAATGCAGGAGCTGCCCCCTGCTGGTCAGTCCACTCCCACAGGGGGAGCTCTGCTCAGCCACAAGCCAGGCTGATGGCTGCCAGTACAGTGGTGGTGGTGGGAGCCTCTGCCGCCTCCTCAGCAGTGCTAAGGATGTCCAACTGCAGCTTAGGCCTGCTCCCCGCTGGCAAGTGGACATCCTCTGAGGGCTCCCGGGCTGCCAGAGGGATGTCTGATTGCCAGCTTAGGCCCTATTCCCCAGGGAGCGGGCCTAAGCCAGCAGGTGGACATCCCCCGAGGGGTCCCAGACTAAGAGAGGGCACAGGCCAGGCTGAGGGACCCCCCCCGAGTGCACAAATTTTTGTACACCGGGCCTCTAGTTGTTCCATAAATTTGTATCATTCTTATCTCCATTTTATCTCCTGAGTGGTTTGACCAGCATGAGCTCCTAATCACTAACAATCATGACCCAAAACTCTTGGTTTGTTCCTCAGAGCTATTTGTATCTGTCATGCATGCACATTTATACTTAACTTTCCAAGAATTTATTTTTTAAATTAAGGGACACACTTGCTCTGGTCAGTATGGCTCAGTTGGTTGGGCATCATCCTGTGCACCAGGATGTTGTCTGTTTGATTCCTGGTCATGGTACATGCTTAGGTTGTGGGCTTGATCCCTGGTAGGGGGCATGCAGGAGGCAACCAATTGATGTTTCTCTCTCACATCAGGGTCTCTCTCTCTCTCTCTCTCTCCCCCTCCTCTCCCTCCCTTCCTTACTCCCTCCCTCTCCCTTCTTCTCTAAAAATCAATAAATTCTTTTAAAAAAATTAAGGGGCACACTTTAGTTATGGAACAAACATAAATTTGACTCTGGGAACATTTATTCTTTTATAACTCCTACATTAAACCCCTATCAGTTGCATCATGACCTAAATTATTATACAGTTAGGTTGTTAAACACATCCAGAATTCTGGAAGAAAATGGATAAAACAGTCCTTTTTTATTTTACTTTTTTCCAAAGTCCCTGGGAGCCTCAGAGCCATTAGGAAAGTTTTGTGAAGAATGGTTTTTTTACCCTGTTCCCTCCCCCAGTTCCTTCCGTGCCCTAAGGCCACACTTTTTCACTCTTGGGGCTCCCACTGGGCACCTCCTGTTTTCCCAGAGGATCCTCTTCCTCCTTGCACCGCCTGTCTTCCTCCCATCTCCTTGGGCTTCTTCATCTCTGTGTCCCGTTTACTGCCGGGTCCCAACTCTTCTGTTGCCTCATATTGGTGCCTTAGCTCTGTCCCTCACCTGCTAGTTTCTCCGCAGAGTAAGATCCTGGGGCTGAAGGGAGTGAGGTGTGAGGAGCAGGGTCCCCACAGTTCAGAGAGAGATTTCACAGTGCTCAGACCAATGATCATATGCAACTATACTAAAAGAGCATCTTCATCTCTTTCGGTATCAGCCCTGTACACACTGGGCTCCAAGACAGGAAAGGAGGATGAGGAAGAAAACTATCCTGCCTTTTGTTACTCTGCCAACACTAAAAAGCTACTAGGGGGACCCAGTACCTAGAGCACCCGAAACGTAAAGTCTCATTCTACAGAAATGCACGCTCTGCCCTTCTCCTGACTTTAATGAAGAAGTATTTTACCCACTTACCCAAAGCTTATTGTATTGCAAAATATGAAATTGCAGTACTTGCAGAATCAAACTCCATCAGCCAGATGATGAAAAAGTAAATTATAAGTCTGCAAGACACACAAACTTATTATTTTAAGTAATTTGTTTCTCAGGCTATGTTTATACCACAAAACAAAGTGAAACAGGGAAAAGTTGTAGTTTCCTTCTGAAATAGCTGTGTTAGCTGGGTGACTAGCATGGGGTTTGCCAGATGCAGAAATGCTCAATGTACAAGTCTTTTGAGAATATACCTGGCCATGGTGGCTGAGGGGGCCTGGACCCTGGGTCGTGCCGAGCTGGTTATGGGGCAGCAAGAAAGAGCAAAGGAAAAAAATGTCTCCAAGACCTTAGGCTGGGTGAAGCGAAGCTAAAGGATAAAAGAACAGAGTAGTTCAGCCAGCGTGGCTCAGTGGTTAGATGTCGACCTATGAACCAGGAGGTCACAGTTCGATTTCCAGTCAGGGGCCAGGGCATATGCCAGGGTTGTGGGCTTGATCCCCAGTGTGGGGCATGCAGGACGCAGCCAATCAGTGATTCTCTGTCGTCATTGATGTTTCTATCTCTCTCTCCCTCTTCCTTCCTCTCTGAAATCAATAAAAATCTATTTTTAAAAAAAGAACAGAGACAATGGAGTGAGTTGGCGGGGGGGGGGGGGGAGGACAGGAGAGGGGGGGGGAGACGTATGGATTCAGAAAGAAAAAGAAATGTGCCCAAGGGAAGGAATCACACGCTCCCCTCCCCCCACCGTGACCAGCAGGAGAGCAGGGTTTTGTTTTTTGTTTTTTAAGCCCACAGGTCTCTCAGAGAGGGGAACCACTGCCTCTTATGCCTCCTTCTGGCACTGAAATGTATATACCTCCCTAAAAAAGGTGTTACTGTTATTAACACACCACCCCCACTAGCACAACAGCTGGGGACCCAGCTCTGATTCCCACCGTTCTTTGCACAGCGTATTCTGTACACGCAGGCAGTCAAGTGATTTGCTGTGCATATTGGCAGTGTTGGGAAAGTATCTTTTTTGTTAATATATATTTTATTGATTTTTTACAGAGAGGAAGGGAGAGGGATAGAGAGTTAGAAACATCGATGAGAGAGAAACATTGGTCAGCTGCCTCCTGCACACTCCCTACTGGGGATGTGCCCGCAACCAAGGTACATGCCCTTGACCGGAATCGAACTTGGGACCCTTCAGTCTGCAGGCCAACCCTCTATCCACTGAGCCAAACCGGTTAGCAGTGGTTGGCAAACTGCAGCTCGCGAGCCACATGCGGCTCTTTGGGCCCTTGAGTGTGGCCACGAAGTTTCAATCGCACTGTACGTGCGGGCTGGCACGTGGTATTTTGTGGAAGAGCCACACTCAAGGGGCCACAGTTTGCCGACCACTGTGTTAGGGCATTGGGAAAGTATCTTTATCCTCTCTGGAAAAGTTGAGAATGGATTGCATTCAGATTCTCCAAAAGATTTGCCTTTGGGCATTTAAAACATTTGAGCTCAAACCATGACTTTGCTTTGGTTTGTCTTTTCCAAGTTAATTTAAGCAGGTGAAAACATATGGCACAATTTTATGTTAAATATGTGGCTTCTCTCTTTGTAAATAAATGGCCAGGTCGTTTACTAGACAATTGAAATCAAGTTCATAACACTGATTGGCTCAGTGAACCTGTATCGACACCAGGGGGTATTGGGCTGGCAACACGGAAATGGGAACAGGAATATGAGACAGATTGTGCCCCTACAGATTTCCAATGGAGAGAGTCAAGACCTCGAAATAACTGTAAATAACGCCTCTGTGATCAGCTACCCAGAGAGACAGAGAGGAGGGAGTAGGCTAGCCTACTTACTGATAGACGCTCCAGACTTTACCACAAGTCACCTTATGTAATCTTGGTTAAATTACTTGATGTTTGTTCCTCTCTTATTACTGACAGGATTGGATTCGATTAAATCAACTCCAGGTGCCTCAGTAACAGGACCATATTCATTCCTTTGGAGGTACTAAATTCTAAAAAGGTTATTGTGAATAACAACAACAAAAAAAGATCATTATATAAATGCAAAATGAAATTAATCCCAGTCCAGAAACACTGCAATAAGAATAGCTAGACTCTAAAATTCTTTTGCCAAAAAAATAAAATAATAACATTCTTTTGCAAAATTCTGGGTCAAGTCATCAAAATGCTACATTCTGGTTTTGTTAGGGACTCTGATAAGCCAACACCCTAATAGTTATTTAGGTCACTGAGCCCTGTCCCAAGCCACAGTTCAGCCATGGGAGTGGTACGAGGGCGGGCATCCACGCCAATAAGAACTACTCAGCTTTGGTTTGGTGTTTACTGATCAGGATTGTGCATCAAATTGCATCAAAGAGGGGAAGTGGGATTAGCCATTAAAAATCACTGGATTCAATAGTCTCTAAAGCCTCTTCCAGCTCAAAAAGATTTGGATTCCATGATTCTCGGTGACAGCATCGTGCATTCTCTCCCCCCTCTCCCCTCCTCACCTGTACCCGCTCCATTTCCCTCTGGTAGGACATGGATGGCCAAGGTCCAGGCCCGGCTTTCCCTCTCTGCCCATGCTCTCTAAGCCTCCAGCAGAGGAACCTGGCCCCGAGTGACTCTCCCTCTCTCTGCTTCCCGCAGGGTGGAGAACATGTCCATGCGACTGGAGGAAGTCAACGAGAGAGAGCACTGCATGAAGGCTTCGCTCCAGACCGTGGACATCCGGCTGGCGCAGCTCGAGGACCTCATCGGGCGCATGGCCACGGCCCTGGAGCGTCTGACAGGTCTGGAGCGAGCCGAGTCCAACAAAATCCGTTCTCGGACCTCCTCGGACTGCACGGACGCAGCCTACATCGTCCGCCAGAGCAGCTTCAACAGCCAGGAGGGGAACACCTTCAAGCTCCAAGAGAGTATAGACCCTGCAGGTGAGGAGACCATGTCCCCAACTTCTCCAACCCTAATGCCCCGTATGCGAAGCCATTCTTTCTATTCGGTCAATATGAAAGACAAAGGTGGTATAGAAAAGTTGGAAAGTCTTTTCAAAGAAAGGTCCCTGAGCCTGCACCGGGCTACTAGTTCCCACTCTCTAGCAAAGGAGTCCAAAACTCCTGCAGCCCCTGCGAACACCTTGGCCATCGTTCCCGATTCCAGAAGACCGTCATCATGTATAGACATCTATGTCTCGGCCATGGATGAGCTCCACTGTGATATCGACCCTCTGGACAATTCCATGAACATCCTTGGGCTGGGCGAGCCAAGCTTCTTGGCTCAAGTTCCTTCCACCGCTCCTTCAAGTAGTGCCTATGCAACTCTCGCACCCACCGACAGGCCTCCAAGCCGGAGCATCGATTTCGAGGACGTCACCACCTTGGACACGAGATCTTTCTCTTCAGACTACACCCACCTCCCAGAGTGCCAAAACCCCTGGGACGCTGACCCCCCCACGTACCACGCCATCGAGCGCTCCAAAAGCAGCCGCTACCTGCCCAGCACGCCCTTCCTCCTAGAGGAGGCGCCCATCGTGAAGTCGCACAGCTTTATGTTTTCTCCCTCGAGGAGCTATTACGCCAACTTCGGGGTGCCCGTGAAAACGGCGGAATACACGAGCATTACAGACTGTATTGACACCAGGTGTGTCAATGCCCCTCAAGCGATTGCCGACAGAGCCACCTTCCCCGGAGGTCTCGGAGGCAAAGTGGAGGACTCCTCTTGCTGCCACCCCGAGCGAGAAGCAGAGCTGAGCCACCCCAGCTCTGACACTGAGGAGAACGAGGCCAAAGGCCGGAGAGCCGCCCTGGCCATCCCCTCGCAGGAGGGCGATCACGCAGACAGAACCCTGTCCAACAACATCACGGTTCCCAAGATAGAGCGCGCCAACAGCTACTCGGCAGAGGAGCCGAGCGCGCCGTACGCCCACACCAGGAAGAGCTTCTCCATCAGTGACAAACTCGACCGGCAGCGGAACACAGCCAGCCTGCGGAACCCCTTCCAGAGGAGCAAGTCCTCCAAGCCCGAGGGCCGCGGGGACAGCCTGTCCATGCGGAGACTGTCCAGAACGTCCGCTTCCCACAGCTTTGAAAGCAAGCACAACTAACCCCTCCTGAGCAGCGTTGCAGGAGGCTCACGAATGCAGCCCTAGAATTCTCCCCGAACTCCACCTGCTCCCCTTCCTCGAAACCTACCTGCGTTAGTCTTAGCTGAGCAAAACAAGCAATGCCTTAGGAGGTGTTCACTCAAAAGTGACTTCTGGGCCGAGAAAGCATTTGATCTGGCCCAGTCCCAAACACAGGGGATATGTTGTCATGCTCACCCCGGATGGGTAGGGAGGGGAAAGAGAGGGAGAAGGAGGGTTGAGATGAATGTGTATCACTAGTCACTTCGGAAAGCCTCGAGCTCTGGGAAGGAAGGGGCTTCACGCATTCTCCGTGCCAGGAGGCGTCTTGCAATTTCTGACCGTTATGAAGAGTTGTAGGATGCAGGGCTAAATTGCGAAATAAAATAAAATAAAGTGGCCAGCATACAAATGAGATATTCTAAACTTCAATTCTGTTTTCTTTTCACATTGGCTCCATCACTGGTGACTGATGAAGAGCATCCTTTTTATTCAGTATAAGCCGGCAGCAAGCAGTTCTACCTAACGTCCCACATCCTTCTCATGCCACCACTTCTGTAATTGATCATTGTAAAGAAAGAACAAGGTAACAGTCATAGTTCACCTGTCTCTTATATATTCACTTCTGGTGCCACAACTGTTTATATTTTTTGAAGAAAATAAGGGAAAAGAAATGCCTTTTCTGTATTGCGAGCGGAATGAAAGAAGAATTGATGTTAAAAAAAAAAAAACAAATGTCAAGTGGCCTATTATATACAGTGGGCATTCAAGGATAGTCGAGCAAGCTCAGGATGAATGTAACTAAATAATTTTATATTTTTTAATTTATTTGTATCTCACCTGTCATCAAGGAATTCGCTCACTGAATATATAATAGTGAACTAACAAAAAATATAGTGGGCAGCACGCGCCTAACATTGCCGTGTGGGATATTGCTGTATTCTCCCCATCCATGTCGTGTGTTACGCTGCTGTGTGACCTTCATCATGTGCATGACTCCACCATGTCTTCTGAACACCTCCAAGATGTAACTGCCAATTTTTCACACCACTCATCACATGACCATTTTATATATGACTATCTGGTGGATATTTTCATACCTAGAGTTTTGCCATTCAATCTGAGCTCAGCATAAATTTAATCGGAGTTTTTCAAGGGCTGGTATCTTTTTTATGGAAATGTTCCAAAGTACTTTTTAAGGAAGTCTCAAAACCATAAATAACCTTAGAATTGACTGGGAGTTTGGTATCAACCCAGAGCCATCAGATGCAGACATGCCATGAATATTTTTTCTTATATGCAGAGCTATAAAAAAGATACAGTAGACTAAAATAGAAAGCAGATAAACCATGTAAAGAGTTCTAGAGCATATGCTGCTTATACACACATATATGCATTTACACGGAGACATGTTATATATAGTATATAAACAAGCATATAGAGCTTTCTTAAGAGGCTTGGACTTTTCTATCACCTTGAGGTATAACCAGAATTTTTAATAGCCAAGGAATTTCATTGAAAGAATTCATTATATTTCAACAGATGTTGACATTATACTTTTTAAAATCCCTATAACCTTAACTTTTTCTTGTACCCAACTAGAGTTGTCAAAATGACTTGCTACCTGCCCTTAACCCCCCCCCACCCCACCCCCTTTTTTTTTTGTCCAAATGCAGTCACCATCATAACATCTCAGTCAGTCTGGTTTCTCCTGCACAAAGTGATTACATCAAGTTCAATCTGAACAGACCTAACTTTCAGATAGTATTATGAGTTCTAGGGTACAGGTATTCACACTTCCAGATCAGAATCTGGATTTGAAGTGGGATAAAGAAATTTTGACCCTCAAATCTTTGGATTTCTATATGGATCATTGATTTTAAAAAAGAATAAGGTCTTGAAGGACAATGACTTAATGTTCCTGGTCCCTAAACAAAATCTGGTTCTTTTGTTTAGTTGTAGATATGAACTTCCAATTTTCTCATTATGTGAAATCAAGTAAATATGAGGACAAAACCTCTAGCCTTTGACTTTTTTATTAACCTCTGAATAAACTTTTCAGGTGTAGGAATAGTGATGAGGCCACATATAAAGAATTAAGAAATTCCTTTTTCACTCCTTAGTATTTAGGTGAATCAGAAACGAGCAACCAGAATCCTTTGTATATAATGACCCTAAAAAACACTTTTTTTTAACCCAAATTGGCTATTTCTCCCTCAACAAACATGCATTTGGTCTGAGAATAAATCAGTTCCCTTTAAGCTTCCTAGAGTCACGAATCTCTGTGAGGACCTGAAGAAAGCTCTGGGCCCTCTCCCCAGAAAAAAATGTCTAGACATGCAAGTTGCAATGTAACTTTAAAGGGTTCCTCTACCCCTGCTTCCATATTGATTGATAGGAAGAGGAACCGTGTTTGTTCATAATCAATATGGTTATAATAGGCACTTTACATTTTGAGACCAATTCTCTGTGATTCTCAGGAAGGCCAAGTCTCGACACCAGAGTTAGAAGCGAGCTTTTGTTATATTCGTTCCTTAGATTAGGTGTTGCTAGTTTGATGTGCTTACGTCCTGATTTAAGGATGATTTTAGGTGTGGAGCACACTCACACTCTCTGAGAGGGAGCCTGGAGGAATCCAAGCAGGAGGTGAAGGCAGTGTTCACTGACCACAGAGCAGGACCTCACGGCACCTCCAGAGTCTTATTCTGGACCAGATTGAAAGTGGGGGATAGTATAAGCCTGGTGTTTCCATCGCGCTTTCTGGAGTGAACAGACAGGACCTGGGAAACAAATACTTCCCAGTTCTGACCTTTGGACTGCCTGTTTTTCTGTTGTGCATGGAAATAAAGTTCTTTTGGGATGTGTGTGAGATATATAAGCCAAATGTCAATGACTTCAAACACAAACTGTGTCACAGTCATGAGCCATTTCTTTCCCATGCGCATGTATGTGTTATGTTTCAATCCATTTCTTTCTATTCCTGGATCCTTTGCACACTGATGTGGCATCGATTCCGTGGCCTTGTACAGTCAGCTTGCGTGCTGCTCATTTATTCCGCCATGTCCCTGCTGGAGGGGCCGTTAATGACCTGTCTCTGTGCATGAAGCAGCTCATGAGCAGCAAGTTACTGAGGAACATAAACAAAGTCATAGAGAACTCAAGGAAGTGATAGCTTTGGTTTAATCATCTGCTTCTACGGTGCCAATTTTTATATACTACTATAGGTAATGATTTATTCTAAATTGCTTGGTCCTTTTGGGAAAAAAAAAGGGATGTTTTATGAAAATGACCGTGGAAATTTCCTGACTAACCAACATACCTTATGTTTATAGTTAGAAAGGCCCTCCTTAATGGATTTGAATGAGGAACTGGAAGGCTTGGGGATAATTGCCATGGCTTGTTTGTGTATTTCTCCGAGCCAGACGGTGTATCAGCGGTCAGAATGCAGCACTTTATAGAACTGGATATTTTTTAAGTCTAGGCTTCTAGGTCTAACATACTATTTAGCACTTTGAAAGTTCCCCCTTGAATATATATATATATATATATTTGATTATATAATCAAATGGAAAGAAATGTACTTGTAAAAAACACAAAATGTGTTTCTTCTGAATGTTTCCAGTGTATTCTAAAAGATGGTTTCTATAGATAAGGTTCTGGTGGATCACTGGATAGTGCATTTATTCTACTTTCTGAGGCTGTGCAGTCTAATCTTCCTCAATGTTGGGCTGTTTAACTTCTCCAATGATAATAAATATTATCCAGTCATCCATCATGCTATATCTAGAGGCTGTACCATTCAACGTCTTGGGCAATGCTGTACTATAAAATACATGTAAACATGTATGTATCCCATGTTTAACCCAGCATAGTTGTAGCATGTGGTTGTGTTAATGAACATTACAGGACAGCTTCATAATCATTTACAAATCTGTAACATTCAATAAAGAAGCACATGTTGCCAGGATTAATCATGTCCCCAATTCCCTGCGACTTAGCATCCTCATGAAATGGGCACTTTTGTTCCTGATTTGCTTTATGTTTTTGACTTTCCTGTAGACCACTATACAGTACTTGTATAAGCCGATGTACAGCCTCTGTCCAGCCCTGCGAGTTGTGGTAGGCACGTTGTGATTTTGTGAAAGACGAACTGGCATGTTATGCAAAAGACTATCTGACAAATGAACTTAAACTAACATTTGAAACTCCAGTTTAATTAGCTGTTTGTTTACATCTGCTGACCGGTGCGGAAGCAGTGTACAGTATTTTATAAATACGCTCATTTAGTAGCACTACTATGTTTGTTTCTAGATAAAGTGATGCTAATGTGTAGATGGTAATATACTTGTTTTAGATATTGCATTATAACTCACTCTTCTTTAACAATAGCAATGTGACTTAAATGAAGTAATCCCGCTCAAACCCAGTCTTAATTTTGTGGCAACAGAATGCATGCACGGCTTTATGCGTTTCTTTTGACTTTTTAAAGGCACCTAGCCTTTGACTCCTGCCTGCTGTGACACTGAAACCAGTTAGGAACCCACTCAGAATGTTGGGCTTTCCTAGTTTGGAGATTATGTTCAAGTTTTAGAAATTAAAAACAAAAAAGTAACCAAGGGGTTTTTTTCCAGTCTTTTTTTTTTAAGCTCTGAACAAATAATATGAAATAATAGTAAATTATTAACCACAGGGTGTATAGCGATGGGGCCTGGAGGTGGCTAGCCAACACCTCTTGGGTTTACTGCGGTCTAGGTGTTGGAGCATCTGTGATACAGGAAAGACACATTTCTGATTCTTCAGGGCCACTGGGTACAAATTGCTAAGCCAGAGATGAGAGTGAGAAGCGCATTGATGACAGTGCAGGGATGCGCAGACCAGTATGAATGAGTGGTCCAGTGATATATGACTTCCCTCCTACCTGGTGGCTTTTCTCTGGTAGCTGAGCCTGCCTGGGGGCCAGAGAGATGGGTGACTGGGCCCTGGGTGACACTGAAGAGTTTGCCCTTTTAAAAAAAAATTACCATTTCATTATTAGAAGCCATCCCACATCAGGGAAAGAGAGGAGCCAACCTGCCCAGTCTTATAGGTGACTGCTCCTCAAGCGAGTGGAGAACACTGTTCTCTCAGCCTGCAGCGCCTGAGCTTTCTCTTCCTGTGACATCTGTCTCTCTCACTCTCACAGATTAGAGTCAACCGAAGGAGGAGTTGGTTGTGATGTAAGGAAAACAAGATTTCCCCCCTTTCTTGTTTCTTTGTAATGCACTTGAGAATGTAGCTGTGTGACTTTTATCTGATGCATCTCTTGCACTGATCGCTGCGAATGAAATCAAGACAATTTCTACATGTGGCCTAAGGATTTCAGGGGCCGAGGAGTCTCCATGGCAATAAGAGTGAGGTGAACTCCCCCCCCCCACCTTCCCTTCAGGCCACTGCCTGTTTGCACAGTGTTTGGAGAGGGACGCATCCCTAGGCTTTCTGAGGAGTGTCCGA